CCCACCATCACTCCCTGATGACGGGGGCGACCGACAATGCTGGGGAAGACAGCACGGGGTGCGTCATCTCCAGCAAAACCGGCTTTGCACATACCAGATCCATTGTCAACAACCAAAGCGGCAACCTCGTCGTCACACATGTTGATTGATTTTTATATTCTCTGCAAAAGAAATTCAACAATTATAACAAGCCCCCTTTACCCCCTCGGTAAAATAATCCAAAAATTCTCGCGCTCTTCAAAATCCCACAGAATTCATTCGAATAATTCAAATCCACAATATCCATTACACTTTTCAAATCTCTAATCACTAGCCACTGCTCCTCCAATCTCTTCTCTCACTCGTATCTCTCAGCAAATCTATTCCAATCAATCGAATAAAGTACCTCTAATCTTTTAACTTTTTTGCGGGCTCTACTAACCGTTGAATACGTGAGATGCGAATGGTTGCGCGTCTGAGATGCGGCTGAACTCTGGAGGCAAAAGCTCACGTAGATATAAGCTAGAGTGGTCCGGGTACGGCTACCGAAGATGGGCACGCTGAGGTCTCCAGGGGTGGCCAACACCACAACCTACGCTCATCTCAACCCACGCCCTCGGTTCGCCAGCAAAAAGCTCAAAAATATTAGTACATTTGGACACACTCAGCCAATGCGCCATTCGCTTGTACAAACATATTTCACAGGCCGTCTTTGGACGGCCCTGCCTCCAACGCCCATCCCCTGGGCTTCAGTACTTTAAAACATTGCAAAATCATTCGCCCGACTAAAAAATTTTCATAAAAATCTTTTCTTCAACTTAAAAAATCAAATCATTCCTCAGAAGAGAAAAAAAAAATCTTCCCGTCCGTTTTCCATTCTTGAATATCTTCCAATCATTTGTAATAGTTCATTGAGTAGTAATTATTATGATCCATTAATTATCATGACGGAGTGATTAATGATGACTTGTTATAAAACACCAATTAATTATTACAGATTAATTGAAAAATGAGAGGTTGAATGAAATATTTGGGATTTCGTAGATCAGGGCCGAGTGATATTTTGGAAACGTCAGAAAATAATAAATGAAATACAGGAATATCCCGTACCAAAATCCATTTGAGAATTTAATCAGATAATCGTTTAAATTTATGAGCCTTACGATGACTTTATTATATCCCTGTTCATATGGTGGAAATTTTTAAGGCCCGAAATAGCGAGTGGGTAGAGTGGGGGTATATTTTTTATGGGTGATGGGTTCAAGTGGTATTTCCAAGGTGTTCAATGATAACTCGATGGTTAATTCAATTAAATTTTATTGTTTAATCTGCACAGCACAATCGCCAGATTCTTAGGTACTTAATCAATGACTTCCAAAAGTGGTAAATTACGTAATTAAAATAGCCAGCTCGATTAACAACGTAGAGGAGGCCAGAAAGGCGCAAAAGGGAATTTTTCATTTATTCAATAATTTATAATAATGAAATTACGAATTGATATTCGTAGCTCTGGAATATTCAAATAATATTCCATTTCGTTGAATTAATTTTTAATATTTGAGTTTCCATTTTGCCCTTTCGTTTTTTTTTTTTTTTTATTATTATTATGAGGTACACAGAAATTTTGGAAAAACTTCAGAGTCAAACGATGCACTAAAGGAAATAATCTAACACGTAATTATCGTAAAATTAATTCCCTTGATGTATGTCGATACAATAGAGACAACGAAATTATTTAGGTCTTATGGGGGCGTTATTTCTAGACATCGTAAGTTAATCTATCCTCAGTGCCGTGTGATAAATGACAAAAATTGTGTGAAACGTCGGGTATGAAAATCAAGTATAATTGAATCATCGTCGCGGTATGATTGATAATCCACTATTAAATACCAAACTAGTCTTCTTTTTTCATTAACGCAAGGATTAGCCTTTCGTTACTCATGCCTATCTCAGAATCTACTCGAGATGCGTTATTTTTACATGAACTTTTTTTTATAGAGTATTTTACGACCTACAAAAGAGTTCATGATAAAAATTCTCTCCCTGTCCCAATTTCCGAGATATTCACCAAAGACTGAACTCAGATTGGAGCGACCTCACATAACGAATTGAAAATTTTTCATTTTTCCAAAATATCTCAAAATCCTAAAGAGATGAAAAAATCGTGATTTGACAGTTTATGAAGCTCTGAAAATTCTCGAAAAAAAAAATTCTATTGAAAAAATTGTTATCATCAACCACTGTCGATATATTCCAGAGCAACGAAGATTAAATTGATCTTCAATTGAATTTACGCTGGATAAATCTGTCGAAACTAACTAGTGGGTGGTGGTGGTGGTGGTGGTTGAGCGAGAAGAGTGGGTAGACTGTTGAGATCGATACCAGGTGGTGCAGGTGGTTGATGTTGTTGTGGCGGTGGTGGTACAGGTGCAGCTGGTGGCCAACCAGTCATGTGCTGTGGCTGCCAGGCTGGATAACCTGGTGGTGGTGCTGTACCAGGTGGTGGTGGTCTCATAGCATTTTGCTGTGGCTGTTGCCAGGGTGGAATTCCCATTCCAGGTGGTGGTATCTGAGTGGGTGGCATCTGTCCAGGCGGTGGTGGCTGATTATTTCCAGCCATCCATGGCATCAGTGGTGGAATACTGGGTTGAGTTGGTTGAGCTCCTGGTGGTGGTGGTGGTGGTTGCATAACACCTGGTGGCGGTGGCATACTGACAGGTGGCTGTTGCCACTGCATATTCATACCATTCATGCTGTTGGGATCTGTCTGGGTCCAGGGTGGTGGCGCCATGCCTGGTGGTGGCATCATTGGACCATTTTGCATCATCTGGGGTGGTGGATGAGCTGGTGCTGCCATCAGGGCACGTGGGGCTGTCTGTTTGTCAAATAATCCTGGGTAATTTGGATTCGCTCGTTGTCCCGATTTCGAACGATCTGGGGGTGGTCCCTCACCAAGTTCAGCCATCAGGGACATGTATTCCTCATCTATCTTTGCTTTGTCACCTGCTGGACCCATTACGCCCATTCCAGCAGCTGCTGGACCACCCTGACCTGGACGCTTCGATCGGCAATCTCTCGCAATGTGTCCTGCTCCACCGCAGCTCGAGCATACGATGTTATTCGTTACATTTGGCTTATCTGGACACATCCAGGATTTGTGATCTGAGGCACCACAATTCGTACATCTTGGTCCATCGTTCTCACGTAGAGTTCCGTTGAGAAGAGCCAATTCTCGCAGTTGGTTACGGCGTAGATCATTCTGACCTTCGGGTACTTCCACTCCTTGTCTGATTATCTCATGAATCTGCATTTTTTAAAAGTCATTATTTTTATTCCCACTGGTTTTCATAGTAATTGAATTTCTTTACTCACTCTCTCAACTGCTTTCTTCACAGCATCCAAATTGTTAGCAGTAATGTATGCATGCAGAGGCTCGTCCTCACCAGGCAATGGCTGGCCATCTTTTCTTCCAACTTTTCCCTCTTTCACTGAGCCTTTACCCCGAATTATTATCTTCGCGCCAGTTTCTTTCTCCATTGCTGCATTCAAATCGTTAATTCAGTGGAAAAATTTTCATTACTCCAAATAAAAAAAATACAGGTGATAAATTTGACATTTTGGTGTTGATTTCACTCACATTTTAGGGTATTGCCACGTGGTCCAATGAGCAATCCAACGAAATTAATATCAGGATGCTCTTCTTGTGGTATCATCACTTTATCATGGACTCGAATAATCGGAGGCCTAGAAATTATTTCAACGAGTGGTCGATTAATTCTTCCCTTTTAATTCCACTTGGCATTTTTAATTTAGCCGATAACTCACTTGTAATCCGGTGGTGGCTTGAAGTCAGGATTAATCTTCATGATCTTCTGAATAAGATTGTGCCTCTCCTCCTCCAATTTGCGTCTCGTCCGGTACTCCCGCGTATTAAGTCTCTTGCCATCGCTACTGTAAATTGGCTCTGGTGACGGTGACCTGGAAATAAAATAAACGAAAAAAAATGTCACGATATTGCCCTGACGAAGATGGTACTAGCTCATTTAGAAAAAAAAAAAATAAGGAAGCGAATTGATTCTATCCTGGGATTCTACTCTCTGACTGTGAATAAAATCCATTTCCCGATGGATTTTATCACTAAGAGGGCAATTAAAACTTCGAACGTGTTCTCAATGACAAAAACCTCAACCCAAAATTATTACAAATCCTCCATTAATAAATAAATAGTACTGACACTCGTCAAAGGAAAAACGAGTGGTCTAGCTGTGAAAAATTCGTGTAATTCAGTTAAGGAGAAAATAATGAATTATGAATATCATAAAGTTATCGTAGATAACCACTGGTAACGGCAGTATTCTGTACGATGTCACCTGCTACAGATAAATCACCTGTGATTATTAACAAAAACACAGTCCTTCAATTCGAAATAATCGATTAATTACTTCATTCACTAAATAAATAAAGTAAAGTTTCTTTAATTCGATAAAAAACAGGCTCCTGCTAAAACAATTAATCTCATAAACCTATTGGAGTAAATCAATTGATTAAGGAGCAAAAATAAATTCTAATTTTTTTTTTTCTTTTTCTTTTGGTTAATATTTTTTCAGTAGCACCTGAAAGTAATCTTCCTGTTTCGAATTTTCATTAGTTCAATTAAATTTCATCAGTTTCACCGGTAAAGTGAGTTTAAAATTCATCAAATACACAGCCTGAAATCTGAATTACTTTTATTATGGCTTAAACAAAATAAATAATTAAGGGATTGGTAAAAATTGGATTAGATCAAACCAACGCTTCATGTGTATTTTTAGATATTTATCCTCAATCAAGGATGTGTCCCCCAAGATGTCGTTAAAGTACTGCTAGGAACGGTTGGACAATTTGTATGTGAATTGTTCGTATTGATTTTTTTTTTGTTTGTTACGTAAGGATCATTCAAACCTTTCCTCAGGATTGAGCGGAATTCCCAGATCGCCGGTCCTCAGTTTCCGGCTGATTTCCTCAATCTGCAGCTGAACTGTAAACCAATCGGGTTAGAGGGGGCGCAAAACCCCAACAATTAGACAATGTTTATTATTCATTAGTTATTTAATACCTAGTAGCTGAAGAACGTGGGGTGGGGAAGAATCATTGAGTAGGATCAATCGATTCCCATCAATGATCACCACACATATCCTCAGGATCCCCCTTGTATACTTAATCTACATTAATTGAGTATACAGGGATTACTCAATTAATTATTCGGTACCTTCAATGGGATAAGTTGTATTTTTCGTACTTACTCTAGACATCATTCTCATTTTTAGTTTTTTGACAATTTATTTATGGGGCTAAATGAACATAGGAAAATGGAATTTGGTTGTTTCAATGGTGAAGCTTGCTGATGGTACACTTACATAGATATGCTTGCTCCTGCTCGGCTGTGAGATTTGTTGGCAGGACAGTTGGCATTCCGGGGATAAATGTCTTGTCGTGTTCACTTCCTCCCCATCGGGTCTTCCGACGTTTCCGACGTTCTTCCCTCGATTCTCGATCTTGTTTGCCATCTAGAGCCCGAGAATTGACGTTTTTTTAAATCATCCTTAACTCTTCATTGAACTCTCACAGAGAATATCTCTGAATCTACAAGAGATAGCGAAATTTTCCTGGAGATCTTTTCTGGAGCCCTAATTTCACTCTGTGAAAAAGGTCCTGTGAAAAATTTCGCTATCTCTTTTGGATCGAGAGATATTGATTGTAGAGGGACTAAAGGGAATTTGTTAGTTCATATTTCCGGTGTTGAATTGATTGAGAGAATAATTGTGGAAATGGGGGCTTGAAAATTACCATCGGCGTCACGTTTTTTTCCTCCTGATAGGACACTCGGGTTCAAGGGTGTTCCATTGGCGATTGCTGCAGATACAGCGGCTGCAGCGGCTGCTGCAGCTGCTGCTGCACTTGCTGTTGAATTTTGGGCGTTTTGAAGATAACTCGGGTTCAATAATGATGTAAAATTGCGAGACTGATTCATTGCGATGATTTACCGGGCATCGACACCTGGGGGATATCTCCGAGCAATTTAAACAGTCGAATGCGATTTTAAAATGCACTGGTGCTTGCACGATTGGGTAATATCTCGATATTTATCGGTTGATTCGATTTTTGGAGGGCACTATTTTGTGAATCGGATACTCAGCAGAATGGAGCTGAATTGGTGCGACGTTGTCATGGAGGAGATGTTGGTGACGAGGTTTTTTCCTTCGTGGTGGTGGCGCTGGTGGAGTACTAGGGATTTTTCATTCAAATAATTCCTTGAATTTTTTCAATTACACTTCCGCAAAATGAAATTGAATATTCTTTCTCATTTTTCCAATTTTTTTATTAAACTTAATTTATCAACGGTACATTGCAATCCGATAACTGAAGTCGAACTTTTCAAATTATTTTTTTTAACAATGAAATAATTATTTGTTTTTATACAATTGTTTATTTTCATTGAAATATAATTTTATGGCTTCAAATCAATTTCCAAAAACATTATAATTTGAAAATTTTTAAATAATGATATTGTGATTATTATTATTATTATTATTAAGTAATTATTTTATTGATTTAATTGTGGAATGTTTAATTGGTGGAAAATTTTCATGGAATAGGGACTTTGGATCGTTTTGTTGGTGAAAAAGAGAAAGCACTGAATAGTGCGAGTAATAACTAGGTTTTGAGGCGCATTCGTATGTGTTGTGTATTAAAGAGTAGCTGTACATAACGGAAAGAAACAATTCACAGCATTTGTACAGAGGTTTGTGAGATTTTTGTGTTAATCCCTGTAAATCACCCCCATTAATAGTATTAGCGAAAATATCGTAATTTAATTGAGAGGAATTTCATTCACTCAATTGAAAATTCGTTGGTACTCCAAACCGGTGTTCCATTATTTGTAAAAAAATATTCTGGCTTTTGTAAAACGAGACAGCGAGTGAAGGACACATATTAGATCATCCTGTTACTGCAGTTATGCATTTGTTTTTATTTTTATTTTTTTCATCATTTCCGGAATTGTGTGTAACACCCATTCATCGGTGATTTTTCCGGTTTTAATTAATCAGATATTTATTAATGTAGATAATGATTCATGGGTCGAGGTATTGTAATGCATCGATTCGTGAAACTACGACAGTTATTATTATTGCAATTACCAGATACATAATAAATAATTGAAAGTTTATTATTTTGTAATTCAAAAAATATTTTGCAATCTGGTAATTGACGATGCAGACGATTATATTTTGACTGTATTCATGTTATGATTTATTCGGTGAATCAATACGATAAATCGAAAGCGATAAGAAATTTTGGATTATCCATAATTGATGTTGACTTTTTCACTGGAAAATGAGAGTTGATTTTTGTGAAGCACAACATTCGGGTTGGAGGAGATCTCAATATTTTTTTTGTGAGGAAAAAATTTTTTTCTTATCGAACAGCTGATTTTTATTTTAAATCAATTCCACGCGTGATGACGCCCCCCGGACTCGTCCCACGCATCGCAAGTCATTAGACGCGCCCCCACGTTAACTCAATTATTTGTTCAGGGTAATGAAGACTTGAGGGCCATTATAATTTGTCCCAATTGGATGAACAATTGATTTCAAAATATTTCGAAGAGTTAATCAGTGAAAATGGAGTCGGGATTCCCTGGGCAGCACACGACCACAACAACTGTCACCAATAGCCACACGACACATGAGAGAAATATTCGAATGGATATTTCTTATATCAAGACTATTCCAGGAATGCTGAAATGCGGTCAAGTGGTGAGAAATTAAATAATCTACAAAAAAAAATCCATTGTATTGAGAAAAAAATTGAATTTGAATTATTCTACTTTGAAAAAATGCAATTGGATCATTTCCCAATTTCAGGTACTAAATTTCCTCGGATTTCTCTGCATCATAGTGACAAGATACAGCAACGAGAGCCGTGGGAATTGGTTCAACACAGTTGCAATGGGCGGATTTTGGTTCACCGGAATTCTCCTTGTGATGTATATTTTTCATGTCGTTGAAAAATTCTACAAAATACCCTGGATCAAGATAGTAAGTTGCAATCTATTTTTCCCGTCGTAAATTCACTGCAATAACATTACAAGATATTCCACTCGTACTCATTCAAATCTGACGATAAAATTAAAGATAACTTTCATAATCATTCATAGATTCTGGTTTTTCCCTCATGATTAACAGTAAAGGGATAATTCGAGGGCCCCATGAGGTACGTAATCCTCTGGGAACGATTTACCAGTGATTTCCAAGTAGGACCTGCACGAGTAGAATAATTATAAATTGTCTAATGTCCCAGTTGACTCCTGACTTTTGTAGAATTTTACCCATTCGCTACAGAATTATTCATAGATTTATTTTTTATCGTCAATTAATAATTCGTTTATTGCAGGAATTGATCTTCTGTGGAATCTGGACTGTATTTTATCTTTTGGCTGCTGCCCTAGCAGCTGATCATGGTAGAGTCAGTGAAGGATATGGAGCAGCTGCGGTAATTATTTAAACAATATTAATAATTTAAATTGAAAAAAAATATTGCTGTAATTCTGACGAATGTGAAAATTCATCTTTCATATTTTTAATTGAAAAAAATTTAATGTTTTCCAGTTCTTTGGCTTCTGTGCGATGATTGCTTACGGATTCGACACAGTTTTGAAGTTCAGGGCGTACAAAACAGGTGCCCCTGCCCAGGGACAGCACGAAACGACAAAACAAACCTCCACAGTCACATCTCCCGCATATTGAGCCACTGAAAAATAATCAACACACCGATTGCGTTTAATTTTCGATTGTTTATCTCTAGACGCGATTGATTACACAATTATCTCGTTACATTACGCCAGATATTTATTGAGAGAACTCGCCATTGCCTATATCTCGCATTTTTTTTTACAAATGATAATCTATTGAGACGTGATTGCCTCATTGAGATTGTATATATCGTTTTAAATGAGTGCTGCGAATTTCTCTAACTCGCTATTTGAAATAAGTAATATACAAAAAAATATTACTTGATATTTAATCCTATTTTAGAATTACTCTAATTCACCAACTAAAACGATCCAACGAATTCCACCATAAGCCACTTATTTATCAGCAGCGAAGTGTAAAAGTGAGACAATTAAAATTTTCAATTTTTTCACCTGCAATGAATAATTATCGAGATTAATCGATAATTATAAATAATTAAATAATTCACTGTCTCACTTAAATCTTCGTCACTGCTATGTAAATATCAATGCTTAATAAATAAAATAATAATAATAATCGAAGGGAGGAATAAATCGAGAAAGATTATCCACACATTTTAATTCTGTACAAAAGACTTCACAAGCTGTACCTGCTCTCATTAAAAATAATTACTTAATTAACCAATTAAAAGAATAATCATCCTCTGGAGGATCTAATTCCTGTAGATGGGGCCAGGTCGGCGCGCCTGTTTTTTCCCCATACTCGACAGATCGATGGTTTTGCCACTGGGTAGGACTAGTTTATTCTCCGAGTAATCGACAAAGCCGTTCTGCTCCTCCTCGTCCTCCTGATCACCATCGCACTTTATTCCAGTCTCATACGTGTACTCGCGTCTTATGCCATCAGGATCGATGTAACCGTATTTTCCCCTGGTTATGCAGTCAACACCAATGATTTCCTCCTTGAATGAGCCATCGTCGTTTTCAAAGCCCCAGGTTATAGAGCCGTCCTCGTTGTCCTCACGCCATCTGCGGATCACCTGTGCCACAGGTTTTTTTCCACGATATTCTGATTTTGTTGTTTTTTTATTTGACGCCAGTTGATTCTGTTTCACAGGAACTCTCACCTCCTGGGTATCCTCTATGGGTTTACGAATTTTCAGGGGTTTCTGGGGTCGATACTGTACCGGTGCTATATTTTGCTCTTGGATGGGTTGAAGTGGAGGGGGTGGAGGTCGCGATACGGGGGGACGATAGTGAATTATCTGGGGCTCGGGACGTGGACTCGATTGGGATGAGAAGAAGCTGGGAATGTAGGGAGCTGGGGGCTGTGGTACTGGTCCCAGGCTTGAAATCGCCTGGGCTGTGTCCTCGGGCTCGTCATCGTGCTCCTCGCTCACTGGTTTTACTGGCTGGTCATGTTGGGGTTGAGGGGATGGACTTGGGGGGATGAACACTGGACGTGTGTTACGCAGATTGAAGGGGGACAGGTCAGCTGGTTCCTGAGTCACTGGTCGAGACCTGAATGTAAATATTATTATTACTATTATCAATATTATCCTCAAAATTTTTAATTCTTTGATATTCCTTCAATTTTTTTTATCTCTATCGATGAGAAAATTTAATCGAAGTGATGAAAAATTACTTGAGTGGTATCGGACGTCGAATTCTACTGCTGACAGCTGAGGGGTTGATCTTAATACTCTGTCTCGGTGCAAATCTACCCGCCAGCTTTCCACCAGCTGTCGGCCTCTGCGGTAGAGGCCCAATATCCGCTTCAGAATACTGTCCCCTCACCACTTCAGCTACACACATCAGTAGCTGAAATAATCAACTCAGAAATTATTACCATTGGAATTCTCGTAAAGGTCATACTACACTTTCTTTATGCATATCAATCGGTTATTTCCATACGCGTTTGAATTGCAGGTAAAAAAAAAAATTGTCCCAGTGGGGGGGGGGAGGAAGGGAGGGGAGGGCACGTGCCGTGCGTTACATTTAAATCACTTTCTCCTTTCGGTTAGGTATACGATACCATTAAATTGAAATTCAACTACAGGCATTAATCATTTGTTCGAGGATAGAATGCCTATCATCGCGGTTAATTGTTGGTGAACAATAGTCATCTATTTTTTATTCTCTCTCTCTCTCTCTCTTGGGTATTCGATTGGAATCGCTCGTGTAATTTCTCTTTCAACGGGAGATTAACTCGACATCTAGAGCACGTATTGTATTCGTAATCACCAGTGGTAAATAATTTGAGAGTTGAAGTGATCAATCGGTATCTCAGACCCACTGGGACATTACCCGAATTCTCGAGACACCTGAGAAATGCAACTTTCTCTTTTCCAATCACGCAACAAATGCGAAAAGTATTCCATATTTTTATGCCTTTAAATTTCATAGATAAAAATTGAACAATTTCATCGTTCACCTGTTTCGTGCTCGTAATTACTCGAGTGCACGATGAGAAAAATATCCTAAATTAGGTTTTTCTCTTTTTTGAATTAGATTAATTAGTCCCGGAATTTTTATCAACTTCATTTCTCCACGAATAGCCCTATATCTTTTATTCATTTAATTTTTTCGCTCTGATTTTTTTTTGTCGGTAATCGAAGCAACAGGTGCAGCTCCAATTATTCAAATTATTCAAATTATTCCAATTATTCCAATTATTTCAATTTTTTAATAATTGGAATAATCGAATAATTGGAGTTACAATATCAATAAATAAATCAGTAAATTAATCATTCTCAATATTTTTTTATAGAATTGAAATTTGAATAGGAAAAGGGAAGTAGCTCTGGAGGATTTAGTGAGGATAACTTGGGGATTATTTTGGTGGGTGGAATTACAATTAGCGTATATGGATTTGGGGTGATGAAACGTGAAAATAAAACTCACAATAAATCTGATTGGTATCTCCATGTCTCCGTAGCAATGTAAGACTGGGTGTGGTGTGTTATGCCGGACTATCTCGAGCAACTCCCCGTTCCTGAGTTCTTATACCTATATCCCCGTTTGAAATTACTATACGCCTGGTACACTGGCCAGAGGAGGCCAACTTTCCTTCTATACAGGAATTGTGCTCTCAACACTCTGAAATCGCTTGGTGAATTGAACAATTCTAGCCAGTACAAGCCATTTATTCACGTGGTGAAATAGACGTATTGCTCTGTTCCCCCTCTGACATGGTAATTTTGATAATTATGAGATTGGAGGTTTCTGGGTATCTCGTCGACGGGGCCAAGTCACGTTCTCAAATCACCTCAAGGTCGAGACACTTGGAGGATTTATCCCTGCATCCAGTTGCGTTGATAGCCACTCTAATGGCTCTTTATGCCTTATGGCATTCAGACGATCACGATTCACTTTCTTCCGCGGCATCAACGCCGACAATGGACCTTGCTCCAGGTATCCTTTTTCAACGTTCAAGGTCATCTCGATAATAATCGTAGAAGAATTGCAGAATTTATCGATCAGGGAGTTGTTATTTTCTTTCTCCATCTCGTCAGGAGTTCCTCCCTGGAGTGACAACTCCAGATCCTGTGAGTGCATTTCAGTAATAATTTCTTTTTTTTTCTTTTTCATTTCAAAACTTTTTGTTTGATCCTTCAAATGGATTTTACTATTTTCAATTGCATAGGAGAGATTTCTTGTTCGTGTCGTTAAAACTCATTTGATAAAGCAACAGTCCTGGGTTAAATTGTCAATCGGTATTTTTTTTAATGCAAATTGTCGATAGTTTGGCGCAGGTTTATTCACTGGCCACTGGCCAGAGTGAAAGTTGTCAGGTGGGGAGGAAAAATGGGTTTGCGTTAGCAAAAGAAAAATGGAAAAGGACGAGATTTCTTTAAATTTCATTTATCTCGATGGTTTAATGTTGATAATATTATGGCGTCAATTATCTAACGTCTCAGTACGTAATGAAACGGGTATCGTGTGTTTTTTCGTTTGATTAACTATTTTCGATCTCTTGGAAAGTGAAAAAACGTGCATTTTTTAAATAATCGGTATGAATAAATAATAGATCATTACGGGTATATTGGGAAAATAATGGATAAAATAGGTTTTAATTTCATTGGATTTTCATGGAAGGTTGGGTACAGGTTCACCTGCCGTTTAGGGACAAAAATCGCAAGAGTATTAGCTCTCGACGAAGAATAGCCCTCGCATAATGTGTGCGAACCGGTCTCTTCCCTTCTCCCCCGGTTAAGTACAGGTGCTTTGTTACCACGTGTAAATTCCTTTATGCATGTAAGTATTTTTTTTTTTTTTACAACATTTAATTCAAGTCGTGGGGATACGGGCATAACTGGCAATTGAATAGTGAGAAAAACCATCGGGGGGATAAAACCGGCTGACTCTTTGTTTCCACGTATCGAACAGTATTGTTTCCACTTGCACTATTTCGGTTGAAGTTGCCAAGTGATACAATCCCAGGATTTATCTGGGATTTCGAATTGGGTTGAAAATTTCTTTTTTTTTTAGAAAAAATGTACATTTCTGAGAATTTAATGTACAACTTTTTACATCTGTAACGCGCATTGATTGGAATTTCAGGGAGTTGAATCGGTAAATTATCCCCGATGGATGCGGTTGTAGGAATCCGGGTCTTGTGTAGAAACAGAGAGCCCCAGACAGATGATTTTGCCCGTGAGGCTGCAAACCTCCCCCAACTTCACGAAGAACCGGTTCCCCATGCCGCTTTGGTTTTTATTTTCAATACTTTCAGGGTTTTTTATATTCCCCGTTGACTTTTTTTTTCATTTATTTATCCCACAACAAATTTTATTCATACCGTCACGAGGATCCATCATCTACCCCGACAACACCCCAATACCCACCCCTCAATCCGATATTTATCAATTACCAGTGGAAAAGAAAAAATAATCCCTCACCCCCAAAATAATTAACTGATACATCGGATAGAGAGGAGTAAATTGAATTCACGTATTTTCGGTAATATATTCGAATGTCCTTTTGAAATCGCATCTCAAGGTGAGGATCTTGGAAAAAATGATTTAATGATGAAAAATGTCTTCAATGAGGTCTAGAGTCATTTGTACAATGCTCATGCTTCCCCGACATACTTTCCAATTCGCCTTTCAAGGGCTCCCATGGTTTTTCTTTATTTTCTCATTTCTTTTTCTTCTCTTTGTATATATATATATATTTTTTTTTGTTTTAACCGTCTCTCCTTCTTATTTGCTGCACGCCCGGCTTCAGGCATCGGCTTCCTCTTCTACCCTCAGTCAGCCCTCACACGACTCACTCGATCCACGACTCAACAGTGCTCTTCCCGTTGCCACTTCAATCGTACTTTCAACATTATAAAACATCAAGTTATCCTTTGTCTCATCATCATCATCATCATCATCATTATCTTCACGATATGCATGTTCAGGGATTCACTAAAATGGTGAGTGACTCCAATTTTTTATTTCAAAAAATCATCAGCTAAAGAAAAATTTAAAATTATTCCACAGAAATTATCGATTTACAGAATTCATTTATCATATCATCATCTCTATATTCAATCTTATTTACTCAATGTCCAGGCGGTTGGGGTGATGATTTAATTTATTAATTCGGTATTTTTTATTAATTTTATTAATTTTTAGTAGATATTGATGATTTTTGAGGATTGAGAACCTTCATGCCAACTTTCTTGATCAAGGTTGTGCAAAAGTGAAAATATAGATGGAAAGCTATTGTAATTTATCTCGTTGGTAGTCGAAGCGTGTCTGATGATCTTTTGTTTTAATCTTTTGGGGTTTAAAGGGGGTAATTGAAGATATGGGAATTATTGGGAAATTATTGGGGAATCTTTGGGGAATTATTGGGAAATTATTGGGGCTCTCCAGGGAGTGGTTTCTCCGGGTTTTTTTTTTATGGATGTTTTTTTTTTCTTTTTCGGATCCGGTGAATCGTTACAGAGGTATTAAATGGACGAAAGTGCAAGGGGACTTCTTTGAGACTCGCTAGACAGCCTTACCTGGCCACTTCACGCAGACTCCGGTCAAGGTCGTACGAATGGCGTTCTTTTTTGCACGAAACCATGATTCTACCCGGTGTCCCAACTGTAAGAACTCATTCAAATTATTTCTATTATTAATATATAATATTTTTATGTTTCAGGTTGATCATCGTGTTTCATCGGTTATCACGGAATTTCCAAGGTGCTGAAATTTTAATACTCGATTTATTGAAAATAGAACGAGTGCATTAAGACTTGGTAACTCCACCACCGTTGGCGTGTGATTTGACAGTCAATGGGGTACGAGTTTCCGTTTTTCAGTGCGGATTTGTCAACTCTCGCTCGACATTTCCAGAGATTTTTATTTATTACAGAGAGTTTAATTGTTTTTTTTTTATTTTTTCATTTTTTAACAGTTATTGGCTATTTGTTCTTCTTGTTGTTATTTTTTATTTATTTTTTTTGTAATAAATGTGGGCGAATGCTCGAGGAAATGATTATTTATTTTTTGGTGCAAGGAATTTTCATTGTATTTATTATTTATTTTTATTGTATTTATATTAATTTTACATGAGTCAATTAAATTGTTTTATTGTGGTCTATTGCTTTTTTGATAATTGAGAATTAAAATGAATGAATAATTTAAATTATGGGAAATAAAAGGATAATAATTAATTTTAAATGGAATTTTTTTTTCTGCCCCAGATTCCTGCAAAACCGACGACATCCCCCGTCGACTAGTAGATAAAGGAGAGATCCCAGTACGAAAAATAACCTGCGTATTCATTTGAAGCGTCAGTACTCGAACATCAAAAACAATTCAATTACAAGTTAATTTCTATTAAATCACGGCCACGAGCAACTCCAACAGCATGGAGGAAGAGTCGCTGGAGCTGGAGGATGGAGAAGTCGTGGAGGACGAGGTAAATTTCCAAAAATTTCATCTGACAGCCCAAGTATTTAACCTAAAATAGTCCTGAATCCCTCATCCAGATAAATGTCATCCAACCTTCACAGTGATCTATAAAATCTTCTCAAACACCTGAAAAATTTTCTCTGCTTCAAATTCAGAATAAAATCTCAATAATTATGTCATTTTCAAAGTGTAATATAATTTTTCTTGAGAACGTGAATTTTAATTCGCACAATTTTTATTTTTCCAGCCCATCGACAGCTTTGGACCTTACAATGTTCTCCAAAGGCCTCACACGGTTGTGACTAATGTGAAGCCCCCGAAGCCGACGTACAGCGATGACTCGGATGAAACGTCAGAATCCCCCAGTGACTCGGACTCAGACTCAGCCCTGAGGAAGCAGAAACGTCCAAAGATCAAGGCAAAGAGACGAAAAACCGAGGAGCCTAAGAAAATAGACAAGTACAAGATCTGGTGTACACAAGTCCAGGAGGAGGTGCTCACCGAGGATCTCGTGTCGTGCGGTGTCACCAGAAAAATGCATCAGGGTCGTAACGTCGAGAATTACGATCTCCCAACGGATTTCAGGGTCAATGGGTACAATTTGGGGAACAGCTCTGAAGATGAGAGGGAAGTCGAGCCGAGGAGGACCAACAAGAGGACCAATGCTGACAGGAAAAATGTCAAACTGAGGCTGGGAAAACGACAGAATTCCATGGATGTGGATCACCAGAAGGGCGAGGGCAGAACAATAGCTGAATTATCGACGAGTATCGAGGGAACTGACGAGGAAGTCGCTGTCGATATTGCTGAGAAGCTTAATGAGAAGAAGGACTCGTTAATTAGTGAGATTTTTTAAATTGATAAATTAATAATTATTCTCATATGAAATTAATAATTTTTATTTATTGCAGAGAAAGTTGTTGATATTCTTGGGAAGGAGAAGGCTATAGAGTTCTATCAGAAGACTAAAAAAATCGAGGAGGACGGTGGAATGTTGATAATGAATGGATCCAGGAGAAGAACTCCAGGGGGAGTTTATTTGTATCTCGTGAAGAACGACGATCACATCCCACAGGAGAAAATACGTCAGGTATTTCTCGTTGATAAGAAGGAATGTACGGAGAAAAAGAGGGCTGACCAGAGGGACAAGATACGTCAGAAGGCGAAGGAACTGATGAGGAGTGAGTGAAACTTGTAATTTATTCATTGATTTCAATCCAATTTATTACCTTTCATGTTACAAATAATATTTTTCAACTTCATGTTGTTCAGATAATTTTTTTTTTAATAGAAAAATTTCGAATTGGTTTTTTTACAGATGGATCTGAGAAGGACCTGCCAGCACTTCTGACGAGGGCTGAATTGTCGACTCGACAAATTGCAGAGGAGGCTAGACTCAGGAGGGGTGAGGGCATGGAGAGAGATCCAGTGGATTCTGACAGACCTGTCTCCAATCCACCACCAAGTCCTGTCACCGACGATCCTGATCACTCTGAACAGGTGATTGGTCATCATCAAAGGCGAATCGAGGATTACAGCGATGATTTTCTCGATCTCGGTGCTGACATCGACGACATGGAGATGCTCTGAAACTTTTTATATTTCGAGGGAATGTTACAAGCACACGTTGACGTTAGATTGTTTTAGTTACTGCCATAGCTCTCCGATAAATTCATCAGTGATGGCTTCAATGTACATAATCCCCCGCTATTTTATAGAAATACGTGCAACAAACTGATGAATTTCGTGGAATCAGCGCTGGCACAATTCGATAACGAAGTCAATTCATAAAATGATAAATCGAATTTAATTCTGGGAATTATCGATTTTATCCAAGGAATTATGTACGAGGGAAAGCCAATAATTTCTTGCATAAATCGATATTTAACGAAATAAAAATTCGATTTATCGACTTTGTTAGTGAATAAATCATAGGCAAATAGTTTCAACGAACAATTTTTTTTTATCAACCACGAAATGATTTTGAGAGAATGGTAAAATAAAATACGTTACTTTGTAAAATATATTGGACCAATCTCCTGCGCATGCGCACTCTGAGGATTTTTTTTTTCGATTGTTCAAGTTGGCAAACCTTTTGTCGCCTACACATAAGGGCGAGTGATTCACTTCACTCACTTGACCCCGAGATTCTCTTCAAAATGGCGGTTACGCTTGCAATCATTGTGTCGTGAATTTTTCAGTGTTCGTTGTTTGCAGTTTAACCAGTGATAATTCATCGACAAGTGATAGACAACGGAGTTCCACCAGCGTTGGATCATTTGTGAGGATAAATAAAGGACGGTAATTAAATAATAGTGTCTGGCAAAAAAAAAAGTTCTGTCGACTTGGTACGGTCCGACATTTTATAAAAGGTAGGGGAGAGAGAGAGAGAGAGAATTACTGGTGTGATTACATACGCCAGGCGATGTCGGAGAGTGAAGCTGTTGCATCTCAGAAGCATCAGCATTTTATTCAGCAGATTGTTCAAAATCAGATGGCCAACATGACGTGGCAGTATCCAGGGAATGTTCCCCTGTACCAGACATTTCCAAAGTGAGTGAATTTTATCAATCAACTTTCACGATAATCATTAATTTATTTTATTTTGTTATATTTATTTGACGGATTTCATTGTTTTCAGTCAAATGTATGGTCAGGGATACAATCCTCAAGGCCAGATGTACTACTACAACCAGGGAATGATGCCAGGATATGGACAGCCTTTTAATCCGATGCAGCTACCACAGACAAATCAAAATAATCAGAATAATCAAGCCAATCAGGCAAAACCATCTCCACAGCAGCAGCAGCAGCAGCAACAACAACAACAGCAACAACCAAGTATTCCAGGCCAACCAATGGTCCTCGATGAAGACGCTGAATTACCCCCACTACCACCAGGACCACCACCACCCACTCAACCACCTCCTCAACATAATAATCCATCGAATCAAAATCAATTGCAGAATCATCCCATGTTCATGTACAATTCCTTTCCCTACAATGGTTGGAATGGTTCACAGACTGACGTAAATCGTAAGTATTTCTTAATGTGTGTGTGTATAACTGGTGAAATTGTCATTTAATTTTTTACACTGACATAATTTTTTTTCTCTTTACAGAATTTAATAATCCTCAAATTCGCTTTAACCTTCCTAATAAAAAATCCGGGCTTGGTTTCATTCCATCAGGAAATAGCGGTGCAGCAAAGAAGAAGAGAAAAAAAAATAAAAATTTGGCACAACAGCAACAGCAGGGACAATTTACTCCAACATTTCAGCCCACCAATCAACCCCAGAATTTTAAACAACAAGCCGAGGTTAAACCTGAATTGCCACCATTGCCACCAGTGAAAAACGAGAGCCCAGTAGTCCCTTCAGTTCCCACACTAACGAAAACAATTCCTGAGATCCCAAGCCAGGTGAAAACCCCAGCCCCAGTGGTACAATCACCCCCAGTTGTTAATCGTAAAGAATCAACGGTAGGTAATACAACAAATCCAGTGGGTGATTGGCCAGATTGCCTGAAGAATTACGTTAATCGTTGCTATGAGAAATGCAAGACAGCTGTGGATAAGGATCAGGTTGAGATAATATTGAAGGGTAAAATAACACGTTCGGCGAATGATGGGTCATTGTGGATTAAGAATTGGGACAAGGAGCCATTGCCCAGTATTCACAGTGAACGAATGACAATGACCATTAAACCACAGCAGACTGTGTTGAAACAGAGTCCACTTGTGGTACAGGGAGGCATGCGCAAATCTGGCCTGTCAACGTCACTTGGGGCTAGATTGGGCGCTCGTCTCTCTGGCATTAGTCGGAGAATAGGGTCCAGATCCAGATCCAGATCTCGATCGAGGTCTCACAGTCCACCGGCCAGAAAATACAGGAGGAGCACGTCGTCTTCATCGTCGAGTAGTGGATATGAGTACAAGAGTAAGAGTAAGAAGACAACGAGAAGTAGCAGTAAACCTAATACGAGGGATAACAAAAAGAGTAAAAAGGGAAAACAGGGAAAATCACATTTCTATTCGGAGTTCGGGGTGGGGGGCGAGGAGTTAGGGAGTAAGGAGAAACTGCAGCAGAGGGCTGCTAGATTTCATGATAGTATTAACAGGAGTTCGTCTAGGGAGGAGGCCAATGACTTTGATTTCACAGGATTGCATATAGTGGGGACTTGCAAAGATATTGAGAAACCCTATCTTCGTCTTACCTCGGTGAGTTTAATATTTCAATAATTTATATCAATATATTTGTCTGGATAATATTAACATGAAATTTTTTTTTTTTTCAAGGCCCCAGCGGCATCTGCCGTACGACCGGTAAGTGTTCTCCAAAACTCGCTGGTGCACGTCAAAGCCAAGTGGCTTGCCGGCCAGGACTACAGATACGCGTGTGATCAGTTGAAATCGATTCGTCAAGACTTGACAGTGCAGGGTATTAGGGATTCATTTACGGTACACGTTTATGAAACACATGCGCGGGTTGCACTGGAGAAAGGGGATCACGAGGAGTTTAATCAATGTCAGACACAATTGAGAATGCTTTATCAGGATCTCGAGGGGGAAAATCGGTGTGAGTTTGTAGCTTATCGCATTCTCTACTACATCTTCACCAAGAACACCCAAGGTAGGTCCCGCGTCTCTCATATTCCAGTTGCTGGGAGGTAATGTAATTTGATTCATAAACTAGTAATAGGCCGTGACTTCTGAAAAATTGTTACGTCACTTGAAATGACGTCACAAATTTTTAGAAGTCACGTGACCGGAA